TATCGTTCAAATATTAGAGCAAATGGCTTTACTTGCTGTCAGTGAACAACCGCAATCGATTGAAAAATTATTTAAAACAACGATTCGATGGGATCACTTTACCCAAACCTAGACACGCCAACGACTCTGCTAGCAAGGGAGAAAGCAGTCATAAAAGATCCGAATCCATCAATAAACACATCGTGTTTTACTTCTGGTTATGTTCTACCGATCGGCTGAGAGCTAAAGAGGCACTGAAAAAGTCGTAAAACACTCAACTAGATCCGATGAGTTCTGTGATGCAAAGGAAACTTGAAGATAATTTAAACGGCTAATGAAATATCGTATGGAGTAACACAAAAAAAAAAATCAATTTCGAAATAAATACGGCTCAAGTATTCTTTTGAAAGAAAAAAGTCTATCTGAATTGATCGTATCCAGGATTAATTTAAATATCCTTTATGTACGTTTAAAGCCAACCTGAGCGGTTTAATTTATCGCGTCCCTCCGTCCATAAATCTCTTCACCCGAAGATATAAATCATGCCGCACAAATTGCCCTATTTTCTGCTTTTGTTACTTCCGGGAAAAATTCGACGACGGCGTGACTAAATGCGCGCGGCCAAACAGCCTAGGAATTGCTTCCAGCCAAATTCCTCTTCCGGGAGCCATTCACAAATATACGAACCTACATTTAAAAATATACATTAATCCTCGACACCCGCGGCGCAGCGCAGCAGGTCCCGTTCGGAAAAATTAATTCACAGGCCTTCTCACCTTCGAGGATGCGAGAAAAAAAAAATATCCGAAAGAGAATAATAAATCGACACAAAATGAAGCGAACCATCATCCTGCCGAAAATCCGATAAAAACCCCCAATCAACAATCAACAATTTTCCCAGACCTCGTGCACATAAAAGGTATAGGTATAGTCGTGGCTGTCTCATTCCACTCAGGAAAATTCGGAAAATCCCACACGTAGGTACTAGGTGCTAGGTGTAGGCTCCGGCCAGGCACACCGACAGCCGGGCAGACTATCTTCCTACATAGATCCTGGAGATCCCGGATCACGAAGAAAAGCGAGATAAGGGTATCGCAAAATCTCATTTCCCGGCATCCCCCACTCATCGTAATCATAATCGAATTATTCTTTTATCATGGCTGAAAATTGAAATCAATTATATTATGAGTGTGGGAAATTTTCCAACCACCGCCACACTCCCATGTGTCGTCGACTCAACGCCGTTGTCGTCGGTCGTTTCGCTCTTCATGATGATGATGATGATGATTATGATGATGATGTTGAGAGGAATGGAGTACGTGGAGTGGAGAATTTGAAAGAATGAGATTTTTCACTTTTTCCCCTGTGGAACGTTGGTAGTCTCTTACGTCTAGGGTGGCCCAAAATAACACATTATCTGGAAACATTGGGGCTCACCCTCCAAATCATTGCTAAGGGCGTTACAAAAAAAAAAAAACTTTCGTATGTCGATGAAAAACGCGATTTGAAGGTAGCCCTGGTAAGATAATTGATAAAAGTCGATTTTTCATATTCATTACTGAAACATTGATAATCTATATCTTTTCAACATAATACTTATAAGCGATTTGATACAGCTCATCGATAAGAAATTTTATGACTAACAATATAGATCTTAAATTGCTATACCTATTTTGATCGATTAAAAGTTATTCATTATTTCCTGGAGCAAGAACAATGATATTTTTGCAAATTACCATTCAAATCTTTATATATTTGCAATGTCATACAAAAACAACAATAAAGAAATAATCAAGTGAATAAATTAGCGGCGCCGGTGGTGTAGTGGTAACGGAAAACAAGATCGACGGAAAACAAATCAAGGAAAAAAAAGTAGAAGGGTCTGTGCCTAGGGGTTCGAACGGAAGCTTGACGTAGGACCGCTAGTGGACGGAAAAAATGTGAAGAGCATTAAGTTCTTTTAATTGATCAAATATCTATTATCTCAACTCTTTCCGTTTTTGAATTGTAGGGGTACCAAATTTGTAGTAATCTTTTTCAAAAAGAAAGTTGATTACGAGAATCAATCAAAATCACTTGCACCCCTGCTTCCAAGTTTGTGTGGTCGTTGGGGGCTTGTGGTTATGAATATGGACAAATAAGCACAGATAAATTATATTCCAACTCTTTACTGATATAAGCTTGATGGCCCTGAAAAGGGCCGTTTTATTGAAGAGGACATCCATTGCCACTTTCGCTTGGCGTGTTTAGTGTAGGTGACAGCATCACGGACCTCATTTTCCACAAACACCTTCAGCACACCTCGTAGATCAGACCGGAGATACGTCAGACACTGCCATGGCGAGCCAGACGACGGATGGTGGTTATCTCGAAAAATTTGCGATGGCGATTGGCACCTCCTTTGCCACGACCAGTCAATTGTTGCTTGTTGGTTATAGAAAAGTGGACTAGCCACCTTCCTACTGCTGCTATTGCTGACCACGCCGTCCGAAGCGAAAATGAGCTGATACCAGACAGCAGCGCTGCTTTATATCTTTTTAGGTTAAAGCAGAATGATGTGCAACCAAGTGGTACAAAAGCTACAAAGACTCCTCCCATTATGAGTAGTTTGCTATCAAGTAGCGACACTGGCTATTTTCTTTTTGCGTATACGGCGAATGAGAACGACCCAAATTTGAGTTTAGTTCACTCATAATCGCCAACAGTGTAGGAACTCAACGATGAGTAAATTTGTCTCATGATTTCCTGTGGAAAACCTAAAAAGTCTGCCAGAAAATGAGGAAATTGACGAAAATTTTATTCAGTCTAGGAGTAGTACCAATAGACTGAGTGAATCCATCCTTTACTTTTCTCAAATTCGGGAATTTTTCCCCGGAAAATCCTGGAAAAACCTGGGAAAACATGAGGCAAATTTATTCATCACTGAGTTCCTGCACTTTATTTCTTATTTCTGAGATAACTTAACTCAAATTTGGGTCGTTCTCATTCGCAGTGATAGATATCGGCGCCGGTGGTTAGCATGATTACCTCTCACCCCAGCAGGCCTGGGTCCAATCTCAGTCGGCGCCACCGGCATGTTCTAAGGCATAACATCTCTGGGAGCTGCCTCCCTGGCGTCGGTAGCATTGGAGCTCAGTACGGAAAACAAATCTCGCGTCACTTTTCAATAGGTCCTATCTACATTGATCGATTCTCTTCATCGACACTCGTAAATAACTCGGCTTCACAAATCTGGATCAACAATAGAAAAGAGCCCATCAGCATTTGTAAACAAACCGTTCCAAAGCCCTTTACTCACAAAGCGAAGGCCACCCACACAAACCAACACCATCATTGGATAGGGGAAACTTCTACCTACAAGATGTTGGTGTTGGTTTGTGTGAGCGGCCTTCGATTTGTGAGACTTTGGAACGGTTTGTTTACAAATGCTGATGGGCCCTATTCTATTGTTGATCCAGAAATGTTTCCTGCCGTCTTCGTCGAATTAGATGCTAGATTGTTGCTCCTTCCATCTAAAATATCCGGCCGTGGCGATTCAAAGTTGATCAAGGTTGATCAAAATAATTTGTATCCCTGCTTCCATGTAATCAGAGCATTTTGTGTGGTCGGTGGTTCTGAATATGGACAAACAGGCAGATGAATTCTATTCCTACTCTTTACAGTAATAAGCTTGGTGGCCCTGAAAAGAACCGTTTTGTTTCCAATGTTGGTGATGATTTAACCTCCGAAACCAAACAGAGTGCGTCTCTGTCACTTCAAAAACGTAGATGACATCCATGGCCGCTTACGCTTGGCGTGTTTAGTGTAGGTGACAGCATCACGGATCTCATTTTTCAGGAACACCTTCAGCACACCTCATAAATCAAACCGGAGATACGTCAGACACCGCCACGGCGAGTCAGATGACGGATGGTGGTTATCTTGAAGAATTTTCGTTTGGTTCTGAATATGGCGATGAGTGTGCAAAATATTACGCAATTCCATCCTCTCTATTCGCACGCACCCGAGGATCTAAGGCGAATGCCACTTCGACTTGTTTCGTCTACTTACTTCTCTCTGACGACTGTGCTGGGGAAGCAGCATATGCATGTAGGTAATTGGTGGATTTGTTAGTTAATTCGACACTTTTGGACAATGCTGGACATTTACCAGTTTTTCAATCGTTTCTTGTTAAAAATCAACATTCGAAAGCATTGTTCAATGCGTAGCCATATTTCTGATCGATTGGTGATAAAATTATTGAAATTGGACCAGGAGCAGCTGAGTTATTAACGTTCAAAATCTTTCTTAATTTGTTACATGTTCCATTTTCGGTTTTCACAAAGTGTACCCCCATATAGAAATCAAAGACGTAGTCCTACGTCAAAATACTTTGGTTTATTTTTAGACGTGTGCAGTTTTACAGCTTTTACTCTGCTCCCTTGAAGTAACTAGTCGAAAAAAGTTATTCATGTACACTATCATGGAGCCTCTACTCAACGGTATTATTGTAGAAAGTCATGTATATTTGTTTACGTCAGTTCAAAGTGATGGCGTAGCGAAGTTGGTAGTGTCAAGGTTTGCCAATACGGTCGTCTCGAGTTCGATTCCAGGTTCCGGTGAAGGTTAAATAATTTGGGGGTTTGCTTATATCTAATTTCGATTAATTGGATTCCCACAGCAGCAAAATAAACTCAATGAATTCCTCCAACAAAAAAAGCGTTAATAATATTTAACCCGGTTTCAAAACAACGCTGTGTAGTGATTATTGGATAACCGGGAAAAGGTTGAATAGGCGCCTATCAAGATAGCACTTAAGGTTCAATTTACTTTGATGCATTTTCGAAAAATTCAAAAGCTGAACAAATGCGTCGAAAAAAACTGCTCTTAAATTTTTCGAAAAAGCATCAAAGTAAATTGAACCTTAACTGAACAGCAGGATAACAGCAGCACGCTAACGAAAGCGCGGAACAGGGTTATATTATAGCCAACCGGATCGTGAAGGGTTGGCAATCATTTTTGCTGTGACCAAATTTCATAAAATGATCTTCGGTCGGAAGTTCCACCTACAGACGGATCACGCGCCCCTTCTAAGAATTTTCGGATCATTGAAAGCAATCCCGGTAAACACAGCGAACCGGCTGCAACGGTGGGCGCTAACGCTACTGCTATACGACTTCGTCATCGAGCATGTTCCCACACACAAATTCGGTCATGCTGATGTGCTTTCAAGGTTGATAGACAATCACGCTAAGCCCGAGGAAGATTATGTCATCGCCTGCCTAATCCTAGAAGAGGATATAAGGTCAGTAGCGAATGAAGTTATTAACGTTCTCCCGCTCAGTTTCAGGGTCGTTGAAAGAGACTCGCAATCCGACCCAAAGCTTCAAAAGGTTTACCGTTACCTCCAAGATGGTTGGCCGCAAAAATGTACCATTGCGGATGCAGAGCTTTTGCGGTACCATGGTTGTCAGGAGTCGCTAAGTACGGTAGACGGGTGCATCTTGTTCGGAGAACGTCTTGTGATCCCTGAGAAACATCGAGGTCGATGCCTGCGACAGCTTCACCAGGGACATCCGGGCATTAAGCTAAAGAAGGCCATCGCTAGGAGTGTTGTGTACTGGCTTTCCCTAGACGATGAGATCGTTGCATACGTTAATTCCTGTAAGCATTGTGCATCTGTGGTGAAATCACCGCCGCACTCACCGCCAGTTCCGTGGCCAAAACCAACGGGTCCATGGAAGCGGGTTCATATCGATTACGCAGGACCGATCGACCGAGACTACTTTCTGCTAGCCGTCGATGCGTACTCCAAATGGACGGAGATTGTTCAAACACGACGTATTACATCAGCAGCAACGATCAGCATCCTGAGAAGCCTTTTCGCCCGCCTTGGAATGCCAGAGGTGGTTGTTAGTGACAACCCAACAAACAATTAAAAGTCATAAATAAGCATACACATTGAATTAATGCTGTATAACAGTGTACAATGCTGAATAAAACAGGATGTCGAATTATGTACTGAAAAAAGCTCATTGGGATCGATAGTTGCGCTTTTATTCCGCCGTTTGCTCTGATATGATTAATTTCCTTATTAAAAGCTTTATAAACGTTGAATGTCTTCCTTATTCAGAACCAGAAGTTTGATCTAATAACAAACTGAATAAGTGTAATTTGCACATACATTGTCGCTTTCATTCGACTGTTTTCAAATTATTGAATAAAATGCTTTATTAAACGTCTTATAAATGTTTTCTAGCTCCATTACTAGATTTCATTGCATTGCTTTACAATATTGCTGTATAAAGGTGAATACACTCAGCAAATTAGCTCTTATACCACCCAACAAACAATGCAAAGTCACAAATAAGTATATATATTGAATAAATGCTGTATAACAGTGTACAATGCTGAAAAAAAAGAGTTGTCGAATTATGTGCTGAAAAAGCTCATTGTTCGACTGTTTGCTTTGATCTGGTTAATTTACTTATTAAAAGCTGTAAAAGCGTTAAATGTCTTCCCAATTCAACGCCAGAAGTTCGATCGAATAACAAACTGAATAAGTGTAATTTGTACATACATTGACACTTTAATTGGACTGTTTTCAATTGATTTAATAACATGTTTTATTAGACGTCTAATAAATGTTCTCCAGCTCCTTTATTAGATGTCATGGCATTACTTTACAATATTGCTGAATAAAGGTGAATACAGTCAGCATTATAGCTCTTATACAACTATGCGTCCATGTTGTAATCACATGATTTGTAAATGCTTTATAAACGACGTATAAGATTCATTATTCGACAATACTGATTCAGTCTTACAACAAGGCGAAATCAGTAGAGTAGTGGTTACCGTTTCCGTTTTCCAATTAGAAGGTCGTGTGTTCAATCCCAGGCTCAACCCTTTTTTTTATTTGTGTAGAACATAATTAATTTCATAATTATAATCGATCACATGACTCACGATAATGAATGCATTGATCTAGTTTAAAATATAACCGAGCATCCTTTCTTTCGACTTGGAGATGTGAAGAGGCAACATTGGTCTCATTTAAAACAACGATGAATGAAGAGTTGCGATCGGGAGTGCTGATAGGTATTTACTTTCATGCAAGCTTTTATACATTATTGAGTTGCCCATATGATGAATTCTAGGATAGCTCAGATGACAAGGCAAGCGGCTGGTGATCGGAAGGTACATGGTTCGATTCCCATACAACGGCATGTATAAGTATTTAATAACTTTTCTAATATCTGTGTGGTGTGAGCCAGGTCAGCAATATTGAAATACAATACACTTAAGAGAAACACACAACACCCTTCCCTTGTCCCTGTCCCCCCTGTCCTCTTATTTTCGGGTTAATTTTCCCACAGTTGAATAATCGTTTAATAAATGTATAATAATGTCTAATTAAACGTTACTTCACATGAGAATCAAGCGTATACAGAGCATCACTGTTTTAAGGGAAGCAGTGATGTCTAATAAACGCTGAATAATCAAAAATTTTATCGTATAAACTCTGTTACAACTCATATAAGTCGAATAAAAGCTTCTCGACATACCTTATACAACACCAGTAGTTCAATGTTATGATTGAATAAATTCTCCAGATTTGAGTGAACAAAGCCTGAACAGAAGTTATTATTAAAAATAGTACAAGTACTATTAAGCATGCAATTGAATAAAATGGCCAAGAAGTCGTTTCTTCAATAGACGATTGTTTGTTGGGAATGGCACCCAGTTCACGAGCGCGGAATTCCAGAATTTCTGTGCTGACAATGGAATTCAACACGGCTCCGTTTCATCCACAACCCAAGTAACAATTTCCAGTTGAAGAAACGCTTTCGTTTTGATTTTGTTCAGCTGTATGTTGAATAATAATTGCACAATGTGTTCACCACAACTTTTATAAGACCATTGTGTACACTGGTTTGGAGAACCTATACAACTGCAACACAAAAGTGCTGTCTAACGTATTCAGTAAAACGTTTACCCAAAATCAATTTCTTGTTGAAGAAACGCTTCCATTGTGATTTTATTCAACTGCATGCTGAATAATAACTGTACAATTTGTTTATTACAACTTCTGTAAAACTCTAGTTTACACTGGTTTGGAGAACCTGTTCAACTACAGCATTATATGTATACGCGGTATAGGAGTAGAAGCAACTTTTATACAACGTTTATAGATACATATTTAAACTCAAGCTTTACTATTTTGGTGAAAGCTCTTATACAACGTTTGTAGACACTTCTTGACAGCTGCTTTGAAATTTAGTAGAGGGTAAACCTGAGAGGCATTTGTTGCACTCTTTTATGACTCCTAAATCATCATTGTACAGCGAGCGGTGAAAAGCGTTTATAGCACTTTTCAATGACTCCTTAACAACCGGATAGAAGCAACTTTTATACAACGTAAGTCAAGCTTTATTGTTTTGGTGAAAGCTCTTATACAACGTTTGTAGACTCTTCCTGACAGCTGCTTTGAAATTTAGTAGAGAGGAAACCTGAGAGGCGTTTGTTACACTCTTTTATGACTCCTAAATATTAATTGAACAGCAAGCGGTGAAAAGCGTTTATAGCACTTTTCAATGACTCCTTAACAACCGGATAGAAGCAACTTTTATACAACGTTTATAGATGCATATTTAAACTCAAGCTTTATTATTTTGGTGAAAGCTCTTATACAACGCTTGTAGACACTTCTTGACAGCTGCTTCGAAATGTATTAGAGAATGAAGCTGAGAGGCGTTTGTTACACTCTTTTATGACTCCTAAATAATCACTATACAGCAAGCGATGAAAAGCGTTTATAGCACTTTTTAATGACTCCTTAATAACCGCTGTGTAAGTACTCACAATATTCACAGATTAAAATTAGTTTAACAATTGTCGTGGTACGCCGAAATAATTGCTTGTACAGTTTTTATTAATTTAATTTATTTGTGCACATTGAAAAAATATGTAATTATGCCATAATTCACATTCTGTGATCATGGAGGAAGTAGTAACAAGCATCTGTTTAATCTTTGATTGATGTTCTTTCAATTAATCTCTCCAATCATTAATTGAGAGAATTTATCTAGAAATGTTATCGTTGATATATGTCTTAATTTAATATTTGCATTTATTAATAACACCTATATATATAATTTACCTCTACTCCACCGAGGGTTTCTCGAAGCAAGATTCGAACTCATGATCCCGGATTGCCAGCCGCTTCTGTTTCCATCTGCTCTATTCTAGAATACATATTTTGATCATATGAGACAAATATATGAAGCTCATCTTGAGTGACTTCTCTTGCAGTCGAATAATCATTGCCTTATGGTCATATAAACGTGCCTATCACTTGTGCTATTTTTAGCAACAAAATTGTGGTTGGTGGTTGGTCGAACGTAAACAATCATTTAAGAGTGCTCCAAGCAGCTTTTGAAGCTTTTAACCAAATGGCAATACAACTAAATTCTTGTACAACTCTGGAAGCTATTATTCAATGTTTGATCAACTCAGGTGTTTTATAAGAGCTCTCAATTGTTTGTTGGGAATCCAACGGACAAGCGGAGAGGTTCGTGGATACTTTCAAGAGAACGGTGAAGAAAATTCAAGAGGGGAAGAATACGCTACAAGAAGCATTGGACGTGTTCCTGTTGGTCTACCGCACAACGCCAAACCGGCAAGTCGGCGATGGAAAATCTCCATCAGCAGCAATGTTTGGGCGCCGTATCCGAACAAATTTGGATCTGCTTCGTCCACCGCCTGTTTCATCAACCGTTCAAACTAAGCAAGAAGAAGAAGAAGAAGAAGAAGAAGAAGAAGAAGAAGAAGAAGAAGAAGAAGAAGAAGAAGAAGAAGAAGAAGACCAGAATAAGCGATGCTTTGCTGCACACGATCTTGTGTATGCGTAGATCTACAACAACAACAAGTGGCGCTGGGCCCCGGGCGTGGTATGCGATCGAATCGGCCATGTCATGTACACGGTGTGGGTTGAGGATCGTCGGTTGATACGATCATACGTGAATCAACTACGCAGCCGCTCCAGCGTTACTGAAACAAAACCTGCAAATAATCAAGGACCTGACAAAACAAAGCAACCACTTGAGATTCTGCTGGACTCCTGGGATCTACCGAAGTACTCGTCGGCTCCGGAAACGTCAACACCGAGGCACCCGCCGGATCCATGTGTGCCTCCCGAAGAATCGTCACCTCTAGAACCTTCTGGAGAACAGTTGGTTCCTGCTCAGTCAGATCGTAGCCCAAGATTATCTACGCCAGTGTTGTTTTCGTCCACATCAACGTCCACAGCATATCTAGAGTTTGAATCAGCCAGCATAGGACCTGCTACGCCGATACAGGGGTACTGCCACGCCGCTCTTCAAGACTTCGAAGGCCGCCACGTTGGTTCGACCCGTACCATCTGTATTAAAAGAGGGGGATATTGGAGTGTGAAATGGAATAAGCGGAGTGCCCCTACAAAGTCCGCACGCCGCTGGGCTTGAGTTGAAAGCGAAAGCTATCACACTATGATGATACCGTTCCTGTGCATACCTGCAACCAAACGTCGATTCAACTTGTTTTATGTTTGTTATTGTTGAAAAGATGCTAAAAGACCATGTCGTTTTATCGTTAAGACGCGCGTTTTAGTTCGTTTAATTCCGAGTGATTTGTGATTTCACGCCCAGTATTTGCGTCCGCGAGTTCGGCCACCACGCGGGGCCTGAAATCATAAAAGTAACACCCTTTGCTATCATCTGGAAGATGAGCCCCCGGGTTTCCAGATAATGTGTTATACTGAGCCACCCTAGTCTCCACTCCGGAAAGGTTCTTTGATATCACTAAGGTGAATATTACATTTGAATTGGATTTGAATAAATTATGACACCATTATGCTAGCAGAAATTCTTTCAACTCAGCAAAAAAATAATTTTGATAT